TTGTATTCCCAGTATTCTTTAAATTTTAGGGAGACATTTTTTATGAATGATTTGATTTTGTGGAGTCATTTTGATTCAAAAAACACTCAGTATTTCAAGTATTCTTTAAGTATCTAACTACCTATTGGCTATACTTCATGATGCAATTGTGTCATAAAGTCTTAAGATTTTATATTTTTATGTATGCAGCAATTAAGATTTTATATCTTTATGTGTGCAGCAATATTATGAAAAATCGATATACTTTAATTGTGTTTAATGCCCGTTTTTATAAAGGTTTCAATTTTTGTCAGCATATCTTATCAGATCTTCAGTTTTGATCAACATACATAATTGATCTATTGTACTAGCTTGTAAAACTCCTTGGAGCAATGCATGCTTTATAGTTTAAACTTATAGCAAAGAGTGTATTAAATTTCACTTTTGGAAAGTGGATGTATTTTTCCCTTCAGATGCCTTCATTTAGAACCTTTTGAGAAATACTTTTTACTCTGAATATATATTCATGGTAAGGATCACTATCACATGAAATGCAAACTGCTCATCAGGAATTGAGGTATATTTAAATGGATTACTTTTTGTTTAATAGGTTGATGCTCTTATTCAATTTCATTGTATACCATGTGCTTTGGGAAAGGTTGGGGCACTTATTTTTGTTCATATTCCCTACTGCAGGATTTACTTGACCTTAGCCCTCTAGAAAACATATTTCACCACATTTCTTAATGCATTTCCCTCATGCATGGCTTTTTCAGCTTTCATGTTCTAGAAGCATATATGCATGTTTTTTTTGAGAAATATTAGTTGAATAGCATGGTGATTCATGGCCATCTTAATTATATATATATTTTTTCTATTGGATGTTATTGTAACTTTTTCATTTTCATGAGAAAGTAAGGCTTAAATATCCATGCTTACAAGGTCCCCTTGGTAGGTGATTTTCCCAAATAAATATTTTGTAATGAACTTTTATTTTTAGGAAAATTTACAAGAAAATAATAAAATGAGAAGGGAAGATGTGACATGGCAGTATGGTACAAAAGTGAATGACAAAGGAATAGTTAGATGTAATTTTTGTAACAAGGAAATGGGTGGTGGTATTTATCGCCTAAAAGAATATCTTGCTTGGGTAAAAGGTAATATCACCGGTTGTAAAGAAGTGCTACTAGAAATAAAACAACAAATAATAAAAATAATCACAGAAGGAAAATATAAAAAAATACAGAGAGAAAGGGATGCAGAGGAGATAGGGAAGGGATACGAAAGTCCAATAGATGAGGAAGATGATCAAGAGGTAGAATTTGAGGCACAAATGGAACGAGCTAGGATTGCCAGTATTCAAGAGCTTAATTATAGACAAATGTAAATTCAAGAGATGTATGGGAGAAGGGATGATGCATTCAGTAGCCGTTATCCTCAAGAACATGTAGTAGCGGGTATGGGAGGATGTGGGCCTTCATTGCTTAGATCTACAGCTAGTAGATTGAGACGTAGTTTCTCTAGTCGCCCATCCTCTTATAGTCGGCCATCTACTACTCAACGACATGAACCCATAGATGTGTTATCAATGACCCGCGAACCCTTTAGACTTGATCCCCACAAGTCACAATATCATCAAAAAAAATTAAAATTTCCGTCAGCAGGTGTATTAATAGAAAAAGCGAGAAATATGATTAGCATGTTTTGATATGCTAATGCACTGCCATTTAATTCTGCAAGCTCAGACTTCTACCCACAAATGGTAGCTTCTATAGCTGAGGTAGGGCCAGGTGTTAGAGGTCCAACTGCGAAAGAGCTTAGAAGTTGCTGTTCATGATGTTGATAAGCATATGGCACAGTTCAAGGTCTACTGGCCAGGTACAGGAGTGACCATCATGACTGATGGTTGGAAGGACAAGTCCCATAGGTATCTGGTCAATTTTTTAATAGGTTGCCCTAGGAGCATTGTTTACCACTTTAGCATTGATTTATTAAGAAAGAGACATACTGGGAGACTGATATGCGCACATCTAAACAAAATTGTAGATGAGGTTGGGCCTGAAAATGTAGTCCAAGTGGTGACTAATAATGCTGCGAATTACAAAAAAGTAGGCTTGTTGCTAATGGAGAGAAGACTCAATCTTTATTGGACTCCTTGTGCTGCCCATTGTATTAATTTGATGCTCAAGGAAATAGGGAAGCTGAAGAGGGTTAAATACTTTATTTTGAAGAGCAAGTTGATTACAAGGTTTATATATACAATCACATGTATCTTCATGCTTTAATGAGGGAGCATTGTATGCGAGAAATTGTCAGGGAGTCCATTACTAGATTCGCTACAACGTTCTTTACGATACAATCGATATTGGTAAACAAGAAAGAATTGAGGTCAATGCTATGGTCTAATAAATGGCAGGCTGATACGGCAGCAATGAGTCAACTTGGAAGGCAGGTTGAAACTACCTTTCTCGATCGGAGGTTCTAGGCTCGATGTAACCATGTTGTTTCTGTAACTGAACCTTTGGTACAGGTGTTGAGGTTAAGTGACTTTGATGATAAACCCGCAATAGGGTTTCTGTTCGATGTAATGAGACGTGCAAGGGAAGTTATATTTGAGAAAAACATATAGAATGAAGAGATATTGGAGATTGTTGATCGTAGGTGGAGAGACCAACTGTACTAAGATATCCATGCAACAGGTAATTTATAATTCACTATCGTAATTCATGACTCTTTCTCAACTCTGAGAAAAGTTATCGTAATTAATAATATAACAAACCATGTGCATGGTTCTTTCTTGATCCACAAAAATTGTACTCCAATGCCACTTTAGATGATGCAGATATCATAGCGGGGGTAAGAAACTGCATCTACAGGCTTAAACTTGATCTTGAAACTCAGATGCAGTGTATGCAACAGGTAAACCTTAATAAAAAAGTGTATATAATAAAATTTCAATTTACAATAATGAATTGCATTTCTATGTAGTAGTAATTTCTTATATATGCATCTTGTTATTTTTAGCTTATCATGTACATGGAAAAAAATGGGAAATTTGAATACAACATGCCAAAAAAGCAGCTGTAAAATTGCGCCTAGATTAGTTTTAAGTTAAAACTTGCATTAGTTTAGTACACTACTTTTTATGGTTTTTTTTAAATCAATTTATTTTCTGTTGTTAAGTATTTTTATGTTTGTCTGTGTCAGCACAATGGTGGATGATACATGGAATTCGAACAAAGCAATTGCAAAAGATTGCCATTAAAATTTTGAGTCAAACCTGTGTTTCAAGCTTCAATTGCACGTCTCTTCATTTCAGTGGATACACGCCTCGAGGCGGAATAAATTAAAGACATAGACGCTGCACAACTTGGTGTACGTTCATTATAATTTGAAATTGATAAATAAACATATAAGGAGGACCCTCACAGACTACACGCCGATCAACTTTGATTACATCTTCCAGAGGGACCTCGCCTATGAGTGGGTGTCACTAAGGACCCCACTACTAAACCAAGATTTTCTTAGTGGGGCAGTTGCCGATATGGATGATAATGTGAATGTTGCATAATCCAATGAAGGAGACATAACAATGGACATAGATGACGATTATACACAGGATGAATATGAGGCACAGGATGTTGAAACAGATGGGACAATGGAAAACAATTGGCAAGAACCAGTCATCCAGGAATATGAAGGGGCGCAACATGATGCGGTGCCTGATGAACGTGAAGATTTAATGAGATTGGCTCGAGGAGAAGTCCAGGCATTGAGGCATAGGAGTTACTCAATAAGGGAGAGACGAAGCCGTAGCCATCACCGTAATGATGACAATATTGAAGATGCTGAGGGCTATAACACAGAACAGGGTGGGGTAACATAGAACAGGGTGGAGGTAACACAGAACAGGGTGTGGGTAACACAAAATAGAGTGGGGGTAACACAGAAAAAGGTGGGGGAGAGCATGAAGGTTAGACGAGTCTAAGGGACTTTGGCCAAGGGGGTACCACAAGAAATATTCATGACTGGCGAGGGGGCACAATTGCAGTATTACAGACTCCACCAAACCTTACTCAGATTTTTCGCTCCGTAAATCTTGATAGTGAAATACAACAATATCATGATCCCCCTCGCCACTCTCATTACTACTAGCATTGTTAGTTGGACTTTGTAACTTCATTAATTGAATTAATGTCAAATTCTAAATTCTCTTGCTTATCTTCATAGTATTCAAATATTAATTTATATAAAAATTTGTTTCAATTTTTTTGTAAGATAAATGTATGTAATATAATAGTATACACTTAATCTAAGTTTTTCTATTTTTTTAATTTTTTTTATAATTTTTTACCCATTTTTTTTAAAAAAACAGAACTACTGGACCGGTTAAAACGGTTAACCGCCCCCGGTTAGTCCGATTCAAACCGCTCCCAGCCCCAAAACCGGTTAACGGTTCTGGTTCGATTTTGCGAACATTGGCTCATATGATGAATCTTGAAAAGAAAAAAAAAAAAAAAAAACTTAAAATGAATTTTAGTGGGGGCCGTATGTGTACATATGGGTCGGCCAATACATAGAAGCCCCATCCTTTTCTTGTACTCAAACCTATTCATTTGTTGCATTTGTTGCAGGTATATTATTTCTTCTATCCAGAAAAACAAGGAGCTTCTAACAGAGGTCGTGTGCTCTCCACTCTCCCTGACTGTAAATCCGATAGTATAGCAATCCACAGTTTAGGGTTTTTGTTCTCATTTCTTCACTTTTTCTGCGAAAACGATTTATTAAAGAGAAGAATGTGAGGATTGTGCAACACAACACACACACTCTCTCTCTACATTTTAGTGTTTTACTTTCTGTTTCCTGGAAAGGAAAATATTTCATTAGACAAGATAGATAAGAAGCTCATAATACATACCTGGAAATCGCCCTGTTTCTTTCTCTCTCTAGTCTTGTAGTTTCTCTCTCTTATTTTTTGATGATTATGTATATGCGAGCTTGTGAAATTGCTTGGTATGGTGTTAGAGTACGTGCTATTTCCATTTGTAGATAATTTTTGCCTGCTCTGAAGTACTTTTCTTTTTCTGAGGTTTTTGGTTTTCTCTAGTTTTCTTTACTTCCACTACTTAAAAATGCAGAGGATGGGTAGGAAAGAGATAGAATGGTTATTCATTATTTTCATTTCTTATATTTTTTGGTGTTTTTCGGTTCCTAGTTACGTTATTAGCATGCCTTCAGCTGATAGGAAGTGGGGAGGATGATGATTAAATGGTATGAGGATACTTACTTTGCACCCCAATTTCGAGATTTTATCTTCATATGGTTTATTCAATTATCCTCGTGTTAAGAAGAAACATTCTCACCTTTTTGGTGCCTTTCGGTATATATACAGAGATGACACCATGAGGAGGATGGTCATGAATAATTAACCAATTTTGGTTACATTTTTGGGTTTCCTTTACGGAATTTAGTTTTCTATGATGGGTCTTTTATCTAATGAGGAACCGTAAATGAAATGGGTGGAATGGGATACATAATCTATTGGTTCACAAAGTAGAATGGAGAAATTGTGTTGGTCATGAATAATTGACCGATTTTGGGTTTCCTTTCTGGAATTTAGTTTTCTATGATGGGTCTTTTGTCTAGTGAGGAACCATAAATGAAATGGGTGGAATGGGATACATACTCTTTTGGTTCATGAAGTAGAATGGAGAAATTATGTTTCCTCCTTGATGTTCATGAAGTACAGCAGATATATTGGTTTGCTGTTTTTTAAGTGTCCCTTTTTTGATGGAAACAACTTTTCTCTTGAGGTAATTTCGGAGTTATATATGTCTGTACGAGTTTATCTTGTAGCATTTGACTTGTATTTTTGGGGGAAATCCATCTTTTCTTGGGCTTTGTTGTTCTGTTATTTGGATTTATTTTTTTTGGTCCCTTTTTGAGAAATGAATGCTAAACATAAATTTGGTTTTCTTGATCTATTATTTGATTTTTAAACACATCATTTTAGTTGTTAATTAGTACTCAGAATATGGTGTTTACGTGCCATATTGTTTAAATAGTGGCATTATCTTGTATCATACATATATAATTTTTTTTCAGAAAAAGCAGTAACCATTTCCCATCCTTGTAATTTGTGCTGCAGAGTGCAGAACTGAATAGAAGTGGGTTATAACCCTTGGGAGCTCCACCGATGGACCTTTCTCTCCTTCTTCCCAAATCTTCCCCCACTTCATTTCTCTGTCCTTTCAACCCCCCAAAGCTCCAGAGACCAAAACCTGTCTCGCTTCGCGTCACAAGAAAACGCAGACTTAAAATTGCGGTGTTTCGTAATGATGTTGAAGGGTCAGAGAGTATGGGGAAAACCCCAATCAAAGCTGATATATTCGGAGGTGAGAAGGAGATTTCAGGGGTTCAAAAGCTAGTGGATAGCATGCCTTCATCAGTGAGATATGTGAGTTCAGTTGTTATAGTAGCCGGTGCATTGGCTTCGGGTTACGGGTTGGGGATGAAAGTTAAGGGTACTCGAGCTGCTGCTATAGGAGGTGCTGTTGCTCTAGGAGCAGCTGGTGGTGCTGTGGCTTATGCATTGAATTCTTGTGTTCCTGATGTCGCTGCCGCTAATTTGCATAACATGGTTGTGAGAAGTGGGGACCCAAGGTCTTTGGAGAAGGAAGCTGTTGATGAAATTGCTAATAGGCAAGTTTATTTATTTATTTATTTAATTTTTTTTTGGGTTTTGTATCTCATACTGATTTGAGACTCGTTATTTGTTTTCTTTGATGCCCTCAGTGTTCCTGCATTTTCTTTTATTGTTGTTAATGCGGGTAATTGGGATTCAAATTTTCAGATATGGAGTGAGCAGACAGAATGAGGCCTTTAATGCAGAGCTTTGTGATTTGTACAGCCGGTAATTCAAATTAATTTGATATTATTTATTCAGATGCTTATCTTAGTAGCAATCTACCCATGTCTTTGGCCCTGGAGTGCTTCATCATTAGTTTTCGGCCACTGAAGTCATGAATCCATTGTTTGATGTTTATTGGTTGGCAAAATGATACTCAATGACCCACTCGACCACAATAGCTTGAATTGTTCTTTCCAAGGGTACTGTTATGGACTTAGGATTGTATATGACCTGTTAGTGAACTGGTCATCTGTATGGTATGTTAGAGGGTCATTATCATATATGAGAGACATTTTGTGGTGATCAGACATAATAAATGCCCTCCATCCTTGATGATTTTTGTGCATTGTTATTTTTATGGAATCTGCATCTAACACAAACATCAATTTTTAAAAATATCAGGTATATGACATTTGGGCCTCCTATATCTTTTGACAATTGTGATGAAGATGATATTCTGAATTGGTATTTTAGTTCTTGTGGCCTCAATTAGTCCTTGTGAGAAGGAAAAGTTTTCTATGGTTTTAATGACTACTGCTTTCTGCCTTTTTATTAACCAGCCAGTTTGGGACTTTCTCCTAATTTGCACAATATGATTTGTGCATTTTTTGGCTATCTGAATGTTAAATGCGTGTACTTGGAGTAATTGGCAATCTGTAGCAAGTGTGGCTATTCCTCTCCAAGTTTCTGAGTTTTTATTTTGATTTTTACTTCCTTCTCTGTGCATGCAGGTTTGTCTCTTCCGTCCTTCCCCCTGGAGGTGAGAATCTGAGAGGTGATGAAGTGGATTCGATTATCCAGTTCAAAAATTCTCTTGGCATTGAGGACCCAGATGCAGCTTCTGTGCATATGGAGGTATGGTAGCTAGCCTTTGTTGTTTATTTATTTGTGGTGACTAGTCATTATTTAATTGACATGTGATTAAACATAGGTTATTGCATTGTTAATTGTTAATTATATCTAAGTATATGATAATCCTATTGACTATGGAAAGTCAGTATTCCCTGGGGCTATCTTTATCCACTAAAAGGATGAACAATGATGTAGAGTGGGACCTATCGTTGGGATCATGTGTTGTTATAATTGGTCCTCTGTTTTTTCTTCGCTATAAATTTTCTTCATGGATGGTGATGGCCCAATGGACAATGGGAAGATCGTAAGATATTTCTATCTACACTATAGATGTGTTTCCTTGGCCTGAACTATGGTGTGAATTATACATTCTGTACATGTATGCATGATTCTGCAGGCATGTTTTGTTGAAGATTATTTGTACTTACTAAATGTTTGCCTGTGTATGGGTAGATTGGAAGGCACATATTTAGGCAAAGGCTTGAAACTGGGGATCGTGATGCTGACATAGAACAGCGTCGAGTAGGTGTCTTTTCTCTTCTAATATATGGGTTCTACTATATTACAATATTCTCTTCTAGAAATAAAGACTAGACTATCTGGTGAATCTTGACCATTACTTGCGAATTTCCAGTGCAGGCATTTCAGAAGCTAGTTTATGTCTCAACACTTGTGTTTGGAGAAGCATCAACGTTTCTTCTGCCATGGAAGCGAGTTTTCAAAATCACTGATGCTCAGGTATTTGAGCAGTTCTGGCTGCAAGTCATTAATAAATATTTGCTTAAACAAATGAAGGTTATCGCTCTCACAATCACAGATAAACACTTGTGCCTGTGTTTGTATTCCTACAGGCACATGTATGAATGCATGCAACCATGCATTCATGCATGTCATTTTGTTGTGCAATGCATCTTCTCTAGTAAGCAAAACCTTCTTTACTTGAAGTTAAGTAGGTAAGGAATTGAAAAGTCACATTTTTTTGCTTACATGATTACAGTAAAATGATGGAGTGCTATTTGTTCTGGGCAAGTAATGTTCATTTCATGTATGTAATAGTTTAGAAGTATGTTTTCTGCAATGAGAGACACTACCTAGGGAGTTGAATTATAACAGTCATCTAAATTTATACAGTTTTGTCGCCTTTTGAATTGTTTGTGGTTGCCTTGATCTCCTTTGTAATTTGTTCATTAGGTTGAAGTGGCTATTCGGGACAACGCCCAAAGGCTGTATGCTTTGAAGCTGAATTCAGTTGGAAGAGGTAAGAAATTGATTTTGATTCTTAAGTTTTGCTATATTTCGTTTCTTAGGAGGCTGATGTGCCAATCTTTATTTAGTTGGTATGCTATATTTTTTTACTGTATTCAGTTTAATAGTTACTTGGAAGGTTAATTGTTTTAAAAAAAATAAATTGTGATGATAGATAGCATGGAAGATTCTGGACTTTCCATAGTCAATCTTACGTTGATATTGTAGGAAGGTGAACTAATCGTGGTTCACTTTTGCATCAAATAATCATGGTTCAATTTTGCATTTTCTGGCATTTGGGTTTTCCCTAGTGATGAGAAATCTTTATCAATTTGTGTGTTCCAGGAATTTCATATTTAATTATAAACACTAATTAAAAGGAAATTGGGAAATGGTAAAATTAGGTGGAAAGGTGGTTGTTTATATAGTTGTTTGGGGTCTCCCGACATAGGCGTCGATGCTGCTGAGGAATCTTGCTCTGATGTCTTGGAAAGGGATATTGATTTTAAATTTGGTATCTCGAACCAGACTGTTAGGGATCTCGATTCCAACCTCAAAGACCAAAGTAACGACGAAACTGATGATTTTCTTTATCTATAGCCGGCTAGCAATGCAACTATACTTTTGATACGATTGCATTGATTGTCTACTATAAATAAAGTTGTCCCTAGTTTAAGTGTACATATTGTCCTAGAAAATATGTGCTCCCTAGGGTTGGGAGCTAGACACCCGAAACATTGGGATTGGGATCCCAAAAGGTCAGGATCGAGATTCTAACATTTGGGGATTTTGATTCCTAACATATGCTTTATGGAAACGGTGCTCGTATCTTCTAGCTTTTCACTGTGGTCTAAAATATGTAAATAAGTGTTCTTTTCAGTCTAATAGAAGACTTCCCCATTATAAAAAGTCTATTAGATCATCAAATATAAACAGTCTTGCACATCGTATTCATGTGGTAAAGGCTTGCCAAACCTGTTAGAAAACACTTTTGATGATTTTTGTCCTACAAGCATGCAACGTGATCTATTTCCTGTTGTGAAAGTTGTGTTGTAGGGGAGACTATTCTAGATATTCTCAATCGCGATATGACATTTAACAGAATTTTGTTTGGGTCCACCTTCAGAAAGAAAATCTAGACAATGTTGAGGAGACCTTAGTATGGTTATATTTAGCTAATTTTCTAAAGGATATAAGGATCCTTGCCTGGCTTTTCTTATAATCATGTTGCAATGATTAGAAAGAAGCTTCTTGGGACTCCCGATTGCTCCGAGCTGAGTCCTTTTGAGTTGACTTGGGCAATTTTCATCAAGACTCATGATACAACAGCAGAGAAGCATTTACTCCAGTGGCTTTTGTGATAAAAAAAGGATACTGTTCAGGGTGACAAGGCAATTTGACTCATGTGAGTCTCAAGTCAAATCACCAAGTTCTGGAACTCTTGCTTTTTTTATATACCCTTTATTTGATGTTGCTTATCTCCTTAGTTATTAATAACTAAGTTTTATTCTACTGAATGCCTTGCATAGGTGTCGTATCTATATCCCATTAGAGGTGTTGTTGGTTGGTTTACCTTCCAATATTCTCGAGATTGTCATCAAAGTCGTGGATATTTTATTTATGGAGTCAGTTTCTTTATAATGTTAAATTGTTAATTATAAATTTGACTGGTGTGTCGTTCATCAAGGAATCAATTAGCTGGTACATATGAATAGTCAAGTATTTTTCTGTTTTCAGATGTTGATGCGATGCAACTTATTGATTTGAGAGAAGCACAACTCCAGTATCGCCTATCTGATGAGGTCGATTTACCTTGAAAATTACTTATAACCCTTAAAAATTGTATTTCTGTTCATTATTTTATTGAAACCACCAAGGGATTTATTTCTTTTTAAGGAGCCTTTCTGCTAATAAACTTTGTTGCAGGTTGCTGCTGATATGTTTCGGGAGCACGCGAGAAAGTTGGTTGAAGAAAATATTACAATTGCGCTTGATGTCTTGAAGTCTAGGTCAAGAACAAAGTAAGGCAACGAAAAAGCTTTCTTCTTTAGTGCTTGTACTTTTGATTCTATCCTTGCATTTGCCATTGTTTAATATGAAGAAAAAGAAGGTGCCTCTTTCATTTATTTGTTCTCCACTGTTTTTTTTATGCTTTATTTGTTCTCCACTATTTTGCGCCGTAATCTTATCAATTGATCGAGTTTTTATTTGCATATCTAAGGGAATGATATTTTTTATTATGTGATTCATTTTTTAGAAATTTATTTAACTCAACATTATCATTGTTGCATTAGAAGCTATATTCTGTTATCTTAGGTCTTCTTTTGTGCTTGTTTCTGGCCATTTTCTTTCCTATCTCAGAAAAATATGAGTTATTCAAAGAAATTGTGAATTTTGTAGTCATATAGGTTCATAACCTTCACCAGAAAGGTTACTGAGAAGAAATGCAACTGGAAATGTAGATTTACATATGTCTGGAGGTTTAGTCTGAACCATGCACCAGATTTAGGCAAGTAATGCCATGCAAAACTGTAATCTAACCTCTTATTATTGGAAGAAATCAGTTCCCACTCCACTGTTAATTGTAATATCTACGAAGCATAGTTGTTGGGATTGGGAGCGAGAAGGGTACCGGGATTGGGATTGGGATTGGGAGCGAGGGATCATAAAATGCTAGAAGATCCCTATGGTCGGGCATGTATACGTACAATGCGCATGTTAAGGATCGAGATTCCTAATTGTTAGGGATCGAGATTCCAACCTTTTGGGGATCTCGTACTAACCTAATGTGTATAATAATCTAGAATTAAGTATACTTTTTAACATAGAGATCTTATGATTGATAGCAAGCAAGCAATGGTTGTGTTTCTAGTTGGCTATAAACAATGAAAATTATCGTATTAGTTGTTGTCTTGGTATGTTAAGGTCGGGATTGGAATCCCTAACAGCAGGAATCGGGATTCCTATGAGTGGGGTTCAAGATCCTCTTTTCATACTTCACAATGGCAGGCCTTATTTTTCATGTTCTAGTCTTCTGCCCTAAAATGACCTCACATTTTCTGGAAATTTGTTACGATATTTATTGATTGTGACCGTGTGACTGTTGGTTTCCCTGTTTTCTATTCTATCAGATACTGCTGTTGGCATTACATTAAAGGCTTTGATAACCTGGAAAAATAGATGTTGGGTTTTCGAATGCTCTTTTGGTGGTTTGAGAGTCATGTTTTGGGGGGTGTAAGTTGGGATGCTTACATCAGTATCCATGTCTTGGATTTTGGAGAATGACTCTCTATGTTCCCAACTTGTATCCATTTTTGTATCTGTATGTGTCTCGCGATTGGCATACTAACTCAGAAAGCATTTTTTTTCTTTTCCTTCTTTCTCCTGATAGGTTGGATGGTTAGTTTTCTGTGTTAGGAAACCCTAGTTTTAATTAATAGTAGCTAGTTAGTTTCCCATTTTAATAAGATTTGAATATTTCAATTAAGATTTAGGAGTTATCCAATTTGAGTTGGTTTCCTAATTTGAATAGGTTTGTTATTTTGACTTTGATTTAAATTGCCCAATCCTTCTGCAAACACGCACATGTTTAAGAAAATGGTTCTCTCTCTCTCTCTACCATTTCATTATTCAATCTCAATAAATATACATTAAGCACTTTCACACGTACAATTTAAATCAAAGTCAAAATAACAAACCTATTCAAATTAGGAAACTACTTCAAATTGAATAACTCCTAATCTTAATTGAAATCTCTATCACATCTTCTTCAAATGGGAAACTAACTACTCCTAATTAAAACTATGGGTTTCTTAACATTCCACCCGCTTCAAATCAACCTTGTCCTCAAGGCTGGAAATCTACCCTACTAGATGATCTCCCCCCTAGCCAGCATCACTGTCCAGCGTAAATATTTGCTAGGACTTACACCTGTGGTCCGGCATAAACCTTTCATCACAATTATATTTGAGACTCCTATCTCATCACAACTGTAATGGAGACCCCTATATCGATGCTCCTCCATCTCGGCCCAAGTCAGTTTCTTACTTGTAGGGGTTCCCACCCTAGAGTCTTTGGCAAGGGTACGGTAACCTCCTCGTTGATTTGGTCTCTTTCTATGAGGCTAGGGCATTGTAGTTTTTCTTCTTGCATATGCGTGAGGCCGATGTGGCCGTCATAATTGTGAGCCGGAATATCTGTACCTCGATCCCAATTTCTTCCTTTAGGCCCCCAAAAAAGCAGCCTATCAATGCCTTTTCTGTCCACCCGTCTACTCGATTTGCTAGCTGCTCAAAATTACTTTGATATTCCCAAAATGTTCCCATTTGTCTTAATTTGGAGAGGGCTGCATCAAAATCTTTGTATTCAGTGGGCGTGAAACCGACGCAAAGAGCTTTAACTAGATCTGCCCATGTTTGTGTTGTCTTTGTTTTTTCAACCACTGATACCACTGTATTGCATCTCTTTCCATGTGGAAGGATGCTAAGAGAATCTTTTGTTCCTCTGGTGTATTTTGGAGTTTGAAGAATTGCTCCGCGTGATAGATCCACCCGGTTGTATCATCACCGCTAAATTTTGGAAAATCTTGGCAGGTTTATTGGGGCTTGGATCAGGGTTCTACCCTTTCCGGTGTGAGGTATTCCTCCATGTTATGCCTTTATCTCGGTCCTCTCGCTATGACTGAACGGCTGATTGATCTGCAACATCTTTTAGCATTGAAGATGCTAGCCGCTCCAGGGTCTCACGTATCTTGGACAACAACACCAAATGTTGCTACACTACTTCCTCAAGACTTTTTTTTTTTCTTCCATCCCATGTACGTACTGAAGCTTTTGAGGCATACTAGGACCTCTCTCTGATACCAAATGATACAGTCCAAGATCGTACACAGTCTTAGACCGTGCTACCTCCTTGTGCAAACACGCACAGGTTTAAGAAAATGGTTTTCTGTCTTGAACATTTCATTATTTAATCTCAATATATATACATCAATGTGCTTTCAACAAAATAAAAAAAAAATAAAAATAAAAATATATATATATATATATATATATATATGGAAGATACTACAAAACACCTATAGGCGAAAATGAACAGTGATTTCGCCTACTCTCTTCACCGTCCAAAGTTCATCGCACCACCACGATTGTTCGGTAGTGTTTCATTTTTCATTTTTTTCTACAAATCGGAATGATCTGAAATTCGGAGCGTGTGTTCATCAAAAATAGGCGAATCTATGAAAAATATCAAAAAAATATTTTACATGAAATAAATTAACCAAAATACCCACAAAAAGTTTTAGGGGTATTTTGATCAATTTTTTTCACGAATTTTTTGTTTTATATTTTTATTAAGTGTGCCTCACTAAGGTGTATACTTTAAATTTCAGATCATTCTGATTTGGAGAAAAAAATACAAAATGAAAATCTATCAGACAATCGTGACCGTGCGATGAACTTTGGACAGTGACGAGAGTAGGTGAAATCGTTGTTCATTTTCTCCTATAGGCGTTGGGAAGACTTTTCCTATATATATATATATATATATATACGTATACAAGGTTATGTTAGGGTGCTCACACTATGGAGTAATTTATCATTGTACACAACAATTTTGGACACTTCTATACCCTTATTTTGTATCTGGAGCTTTTTTTTAATAAGGGAATTTTGGTCATTAACAGGGTATGACGTCATCCAGATGGGGTGTGATATATATATATATCTATATAGAATAAAAATTCCAAAATTTAAAATAATTATAGTTGAAAAATCTTTTTAGACTTTTCAAACCACGAAAGGAGAGACAATTGAGTCTATTCATCCCCTTGAGACTAGCTTACAACTTAAGGGAGAAAGGTTCGGGGAGAAAATTGAAGTTAAAGCCTCACCCTTTAAAATAAGACCTAAAGAAGCTGACCATAATATGGCCAAGCTTGAAGGAATACCACATATCATTGAAAAATACTTAAGTATATGTGTGATTCCACTTGGAGTTCAAGCAGTTAAGATTTGCAGTTAAAGTCTTGTTGTTGCATATTCTCGTCGAGCCTCTGTATCTGGGAACTGTAAGTTTTATAGTTATTCAGTTGTGCTTATATATCTAAAGCTTGTTCATGTTGTATTTGTTTATAGTTTAAGTTTATGATTCTCATATGTTTCTGCTTAGTTATGGTATCAGAGCCATTGCCCTGAGCAGATCAAGCATGACACTAGTGGGAACTCTCGCTTGTGACCTTTGGGTGTGGTTGGCCGAAGCAAGACTCTCCGCCCACTAGTGTAGGGTTACCTGTGTGCTGGGACCCTGTTGGTTTTGATAGGTACCTTTGTTGGCTGCCTGAGCCGGGTTCGGGGTTACTGCCGTCCAGATCGGGAATGAAATGGTATCAGAGCCTCGTTACTCTACAGTGGTTTAACTCTACTATCAATAGAAGATTGAACTTTTAGGTAAGAGTCTGAGAAATCGGCAAAATTAGTTCAAAGTTGCTGTGACCCAAAAATCACTAAGGCCAGGAAGAGCCAAGAAAATGTAGGGACTGTTTCCAGTTGACTCGAACTAAAATGACAAATTTCATCAGATCATTATCTAATTGATCAACGATTACTAATAATACACTTTGTGTTAATAATAGAGAAGAAGTTATAATAGATAATATAGAAAAACAAATCCAAAATTGGAATATACCAAAAGTACCTATAACATATGTTTATAAGAAGGGGACTTTTGATTTCAAAAGTAGTTTTTCCATAAAAACAATTGAGAAAAGTTTTTATGTTATGGAAACTCAAGACAAATTTCAATTAATTTCAGAAAGAATGATCGAAGATCATAAAAAGAAAGATTATAAATATTTGCATATTGGATTAGTTCAAATAGCTGTCAAACCATTGACAAGAACGAGATTAAATAATTCTGTTCTACTCTGTTTAAGAGATAGCCGACACAAAAGATTCACTGATTCTTTATTAGGAATAGTCAAATCTAGTCTCTGTAATGGCCCAATATACTTTAATTGTTTTCC